TTATGACTCTTAAACACAGCCAACAAACACTTCTAGTGAGATGTCCTTGGTGGGCTGAGGGCTCATGACCCCCTAGGGCAGTGGCACTACAAAGGGCTTCCCTCCCACATGGAAAAAGGAAGGGAGCAAAGTAACACGCTCAACACCATCTGCAGGACACACAAGCTCCTATCTGTGAAGGAGTCACAGCAGCAGGGAGTTGCTGGTACCTGCTGCCTAGGAATGACTCCCAGACATCTCCATCCCTTCACTTCTCCTGGGGACACAGTGGTCCACGTGGAGGCAGTGGCCAAGAAGGCCAGCTGCCCTTTAGCTCCGTGGTAGGCAGCTGAAGGGCTCCTGTTTCTGTTGTTGCTGGACTTAGGACTGCAGAACAGCCACAGCCTCACTCGGTATCCATCACCAGCCAGGCACCATTGCTAAGCTTGTAGCTCATGGAATGACTCTTCCTTTGCTCTACTCCTTTACTGGCTCCATCAAGGAGGAAGCTGTGGAGGTGAAATAGCTCAGTGGGGTCTCCTGCAGGACAGTTAGGGACTAATGCAGGAACAAGACAAGGTCAGCAACTGTGCATTTAGAGCTGCTCCTGCTGTGTGTCCTTGTCTGCAGCTGTTCCATTACAAACCCTTCACAGTACTTGAGGGCTCCCAAGGCACAGCAAGTTCAGAGCAATGCTTTCTCAGGCTGAGATTTGGGGCTCAATTTGGCCCTGCATAATCAGGAAACACCAGCAAACCAGAACAAAGACCAATTACTGCAGAGAAAAATGTCAGACATTTGAAGGGTGAGATAACACCTTCACACCCTGATACCATGGACATGAGAGGATCACATCAGTCATGTTCATGATACATCACCAGCCCTTACCAACTGCTAGAGTAAAAGAACCTTGTGTGGGAAAGTTAAAAAGGCCCATCACTCAGGGATTTATTTGTGACTCTTTATTTGTGATTTGTTTCACTTTTATTACCCACAAAGCATTTTTTTTTTTATGTTTGTGTGTTTTTGTCTTACTCAGCTCCAGCCCTTGAAAGCTGACTGAGGGAAGGCCATGGCTTCAGCCCATGCATGATCTGAGTGAAGTGATTCTGTTCCTTCATTCTGCCACATCCTCCCCAATCCTGAGCAATGAAAGAGACTGAAGGGATATCCCCAACACTGCAGCTTTCCTTTGGAATGATTTTTATCCACTCCAATGCATCAAAAATCCTGAAATGGGTTCTTTCATCTCTCGGAGTTTCATTCTTTGCTGTAAGGAACCTCCAAGCTTTTCTCTTGCTGCCTGCAGAAATGGATCCCAAGGCTCCACCAGAGCACAGGGCTGAACTGGGTACAGGGCAACCTATCCCACCCCAAATTTCCATCAGTCTCCAGAAAACAGCGCATGGTGGAGCCAAGGAAAAGGCTCCTGGCAAAGGAGTCATGTGTTGCATAACCCAGCTCTAGAACTGCAGTCCCAACATTTGCTTTCCAGTCCCAGATATCACATGCCTGCTGCTGCTGGACTTTCTGCACTCCTGTCACCACCCACCACTGCCTATTCAATGGGACACCAGTCCCAGCCCCTGAAGGATGGAGTGGCTCAGAGTGCTGAGACTGTTGAATCCCTGCCACTCGTAAGAGGTGTTTTACTTGCTTGCCCAAGAGCAATTTCTCTCCTCTTGCACTTGTGTGCCAAGTGTGAAAACCAGTTCAGACATCAAAACCCACTGCTCAGCACTGGCAACGTGGAAAAATAAAATCACTGGCTGATCAGCCAAACAAGCAGGTGGGAGTGGTAAAGGACAGATGCAGGAGAAAAAAGGTACTAAACCTGCCCAATGCTCCCAAGTGCCTCGTTAGACTGATTTATGTTTAGTTAATTGAGAAAATGACCCTAACTACACAATCCAGGCCCTAATTCAGAAAGGCCCAGGCTTTTTAGTTTCTCTACCTGAGCCTTAAGAGGCATGATTTAAACCCTGTAACTAACGGGCTGCCAAAGGCAGGGATTTGAAGGATCTGATGTCCTATCATGCCGAGGGGGTGAGACTTGGCTCACTTCTCTCGTTACTTGGTCTTTCCCCACTGACGTCTGAGTTCTCTGCTGGAACATAAATCAGGGAAAGCATGAAGGAAACCAGTTTCATGCCCATCAAAGAAGCCAACACTCACTTTAATGGGACCATGCAGACCAGCCTAAATAGGGCACTTAACAAGCATGTGGTTTCTATAATACCAGCCCACGTCTCTACACCCTGTTTGCACTGCCACTGGCAAACCCTTTGTCCATTACATGCCACACCTGCTGATATCCATGGAATTAGAAGGGGATCATGATATAACACCAGAGTGCTGAACACAGGATTTCTGGGATGGATCAGGCTTGTAGAAACATTTTAGCATCTCTCAGCAACTGCATGAACCCTTACACGCAGCTATGGCATGTGCAGGAGAGGAGCACAGATACCCAAGACAGTTACTCAGAACCCCACTCAAGTACCAGGCTTGGTCCAGGACGTGCAGATGCTCCAAGATCCCACATAAGGTACATCTGGTGAAGTTCCAGGCCTCAGGTGTTGGTGTTTAATCCAAACTTGAACCTTGACAGAAGGGAGTTAGGAACAATAAGCCTTGAAGTCCTACTCTCCTAAGCAGAAAATATAGACCAGACAGAATTCCAGCAAAGGAAGGAATTTAACAGTGCTCTGCCCCTTTCTTGGGCTCCAGAACTTCCCCAGAGGTTAAGCTGCCATGAGCATCCCTTTCTAGCATGTTCCTAATGCAGCTGATCAGGTAACACAGTACCCCCAACCACTAGGCCAGTCTCTACATTTCTCTCTTACTAGCTTTTCCTCATTCAGTTCAGATGGGATCCAGGCCCAAAGGAAAGACTTCACTGCATCACAGAAGGTATTAGGAAGAAAAATGGCTAATGGAGAACCTGAGTCCCTCCCCAGAAAGCTCCCCTACACTCAAACCTCTTGAGAGCCCAGCTTCATCTGGCTGGACATAATCAGATTGGGGGTTGTCCAAGTGTTTTACACCATGCTCTACACATCCATGGGAACCCCAGGCTGAGTCATGACCATCTGTGCTCATTTAAACATTTCTTGACAGAGGAGGGAGTGCTAATCCTGATATTCTGGCCAAACTGCAACACAGATAATTAATACTGTGCTTTGTACTTTGTCAGTGGTGCACATTGGTGTTTTCCAGTTCTTCCCATAATGGTAATGTGGTGATCCAACATAGAAATGGCCACGTTGCCAGAGGAAAGTCCCCTGTGCCAAGCCCTACAGTGTTACTGTCAGACATCACACGTCTCCATTTTCCCTGCCATGGGTGTTCAACCTCAGCCCACTTGACACTCAGACTTTTACCTCTACTTGTGCAAGAGTTACTCATTAAAAATCTGCCCACTCATTCCTGCGCTGTGCTGAGCTTTCCATTTTTCTGAAGATACAGAAGTGGACAGCACACCTGCCTTCAGTACACACCTGCCTTCAGTGCACACCTGGGGCAGCAGGACAAACATTGTAACATCAGCTACTACAAAGGTAGAAATGGATTTGCTTGAAGAGCCTCAATTCCAACAGTTCTCTTTCCTTCAAGGAGAAACAAGAAAAAAAAACCAAGCCTTTTGTTGCACCAAAATCATCTCCTGGCATTTCTGACCAGCACACATGTTGTTACAATTAGGACTGGACTCCTTGGCTCCGGCACAGGGGGAATTTTAAACCGGCACACTGGCACCCATCAAAACATTTGCGAACTTCCAAAGTGGAACTGACACCATGGTAGTGGTTTATATCACACGTCAGAGAAAGGCTTCACAGCTGAGATCAAACAAATTAACTCTTCAGCTGCCTGTCCAGCAACAGCAGCCTGATACTGGGCTGCTATTGTTACTCCATAAAGCTATTTCATGTGGCTTCCAGCCAGTCCACTTCGCTTCGCAGGCTCAGAAGTTAAAGACAAAGAGAACTGGCCAGAACTTCAACAAGGGACTTGTAAGAGAACAGAAACTGCTGATTTTAACAGCATCTTCCCTCTCAGGCAGGAACAGCACCAGCACTATCAGAATGGTACACAAGAATGTTTCAGCCTTTAAACAGTTTTGTTGCATATAAACTTATTCCCTTTTAAGGAACTCATAATCTTAAGCAGTCGTCAAACAATCTTTGGACTTGGAATTTTTTGGAACACCACTTTCAGAGTTCAAACAATAATCTTACCTGTGACAAGCCTACCAGAGAACCATAAATAATACGCACAATGATGTCTGTGTGACTTCTGTAAATGCCATTTGCAAATTCAACTCTTCAGTCAGAAGCTCTTCTGTGTGTCCCTGACAGGCTGAACACAACTGTAATGAGGAACAGACCTATTCTCTAGGCCTTTGAATCTCTTGAGGAACAACTGGGGACAGCTGCAGAGGATGGAAATGAGAATGGTACAATTAAATTACTGCTGCACTTCCTGGTATCCCATTCTGAAAAACATCAGCAGGTCACTACAAGGTGTTTTGCAACAGCAGACACAGCAAAGGAAGTCAGTCACCATTTTCTCACAATACCATCAAATCTTCTGCTTTTAGGTCAGGTTTTCCAGCAAAATTACAGGGAATGCAGTGTACCAGCAACAACAGGGCAATGCTTCATATGTATTTCTAATACTACTTTGGAGTTAGATTCTAACTCCAATTAGCCCAAATTACGAGTGGCTGCTCTAGGAGGCATATTTATCCCACTTTCTCCTGTGTATGGAAGGCACCAGGAGAGATTTTCCACCGCTGCCCCGAGCCAGTTAGTTAAAAAGATTCCTGCCAAGCTGTATCCTGCCATGTCTTTACTTCATGTATTTCCATACTTTGGAACAGCCTTTTTTGAGGTTTTATTTTCACCAGGAAAGTTGCCAAAGGACGTATCTGATTCTACCATTTATCATCTCCTGTGGAAAAACAGGCTTGGATCCCTGTATTAGTCTCAGATATCACAACTGAAAGTAAACACACTGCATACAAGATGCACTGATTTATTAATAGAATAAAACTGAAATGTAGTGACATGTTTTTCCACTGTTCAAGCCATAGAGACAATCACTGTCCCATTTATAGACTTGGTGGCATCATTCAGCAACTCATTCATAAACTCACACCCAACACATCCAGGTCAGGTGTTCCAGGAACCATTCCCACACTTCCCTGGTACCAAGAGGTTAACTGTCAGTGCAGAGTTTGCAGCTGCAATCAATCTATGGGAGATTTTCCTATGTTCTCTTTTAATTCCTGAGGCTTTCTCCACCTGGAATAGCTTTTTAAAGCATTCCAACAGCAATAGAGCAAATCAGCTGAACTTCTTTGGGGTACTAACCTGCTCTTCAGGCAAGAAAATGCATTAGATGTTCTACAAAAATAGGCTTATTTATAATATACTGTGGGGATTATTCATTACAAAATGAATTATTGGCTAATTATGGCTAATTATTGGCACTTTGAGGCAACTACAACAGAGAAAAATCTCTGCAATTAAACAGCTTTAAATGTTACACACTCTTTTGTGTGTTTCTACTTCTACAATCTGCAATGTCTTAAACTGTAACCCATCATTTTTGTTAAGCCCTAGCAACTGAGATGTCATAGCTAATAGTGTTATCAATGTACAGCTTCATGATTCAGCATTGTCTCAAAGGAAGTGATAAATATGAGGTATTACAACTGTCTTTGCAGTTTCCCTCAATATGCAAATTTCCCTTAAATCAGCAAATAGTAACCCCATGAAGGCAGTTAATGTAAGCACTTGGGTTTGACAGCAGGATAAACCGCTGGAAAATAATCCCTTATGGGTACAGAAGAAGAAAAACATCCTATTGCAGTTGTCAGAATGTGTTCTGAAGCAGATCCAGGTTTTCTCCTGTAGGTATCTTTCTCTTACACACTGCTCAGAACAGGCATCTGTGGGTATCAAAAAGCTGAAAATCTTTGGACAAACCCTACTGTTCACTTCCAAGTGTCCTGTTTCAGGAACATACAAAAACCCATGAAGAGCTGGGCAGTAGAACATGAACGTACACCAGAACAATGACAGGTGATGAATGCTAAATGTGTCTTGTGGAAAGTCTGAAAACAGTAAAAAGGAAAAGAGAAATGAAGTGCATATTACTGGCACTGCTGAAGGCAAGATACAACACACAGCCACAAGCCTGCAGAGAGTACCTCATCCATAACCACTGGCTTATCTGCACCCAGCAGTCATGTGGCAGAACAAGCTGAGGAGCTTCCTGAAGTCACATCTACTGCCTGAGTTTGGCTGTCCAAGTTGGAGAGGGCTTTGGTCCTGGGGTTTTGGGAGTGTTCAGAAACTGCAGGAGAAGCAGCAGCAGCATGGTTGGCCTGCTGGCTCTCCTGCACACCACTGGGAGCAGGGTTCTCCTGGGCTGTCCCAGCATGGTGGCTCTGTGCCTGGCTGGATTGTTTCCCTGCTTCTGCCTCCTGTTGCTGCAGCATCTGTTCCACCTCGATCTCGAGCTCCAGATTTTCCTCATCTGCCTCCACATCCAGCTGCTGCATTAACTCCTCCAGCTTCCTGGCCTTGCGGAGCTCATTCTGCTGGATGATGGTGCAAAGGTGCTCCGTGAGGTGCTCCTTGATCTCTGTCTTGTGCTGCAGGTCCAGCTTGGCTGCCACATACTCGGACTCGGCCTTGTCATAGCGCTTCCTGCAAAACCATCAGCATTTCTGGAGGGTTAATTCTCACAGCACTTCACACTGACACAGGCACAGGCACTTCAAGAACCCCTGGAATGCAACATGCTCTGCAATGCATTGTGCCAGCTGTTCATGACATGCTGCCACATTAGCAAGAGGGAAGAAAATAAGAGTGAATTGATCAAAACTTCTCTGGGCAGTGGGGGCTCTGCTGTTGTGTATTCCAAGAGTTAACTTGCTCAGATTGCATCTCAAACACCCATTTTTACTGTCTATTTGAAGAGATGCATCACTGGCAGGAGAAAGAACCCATCAGAAGTGGCAGTGTTTTCACACTTCTAATCAACACCCACTCAGTGAACTGAAACACCACCAAGCAGTCAGGTGTTTTTCTAACGCAATCACCCCCCCAGAGATACAGATGCTCGATGGAGCACACTGACATTTGGATAATGTGCTTTTCTGGCCACCCATATCCATGTTCAGAAAATCAGGGGCAGCACAGACTGACACAGCACATGACATCAACACAGATGTAGAATTTTATTGCAAGCATCCCTCCCGACACTCACCTCCTGCCAAATTGCACTTCCTGTCATGACAAATACAGCAAAAAGGGAATATTTGAAGTATTTATTGAGTTAACAGACAGAGAATATCTAGCACTTTAATGGCTGGTGTCCACATTAATGATGCATCTTTCACTACATCAGTGAACCCATGTATCAATTCTAATTAAAAGATAGATGCAATCTTGCTCATCAGGAAAGGGAGCACACAAGGGCTTTTGCAGCCTGACTACAGAGCACTCAGAAAACTACTATTAGTAAGGTGGTTGAATAAAGAATCCAGCTCCCCTATGAAACCAGGTTCCAGTAGCTACTTAAACAAAGCAACAAAGATAGGAGAGGTCCTTTGCTTAGTGAAACAGAAGGAAATAAGACATGGAAAAGCCTTCCCAAATATCTTCTTTTATATAATAACCACATGACTTTTACTCAGCTGCAAAGGCTATGTCTGCAGTGGGCAGAAGATGTCCACTTATGTTTCCCCGTTAAGAAAGTCAAGATTTCTCTGGATCAGATATCTGAAGTGGCAAAACCAATGCTATGCTGGAAACATCTGCACAGCTAAACCTTTGGGCTGAATTACCATCTATTAGTCACACTGTATTTACAAAAATTCTATTCCACAGCAATTGTCAAATGTTGCTAACTAGGTATGTGCTCAGGACTATTTAATATTGCACTTTCTAACACAGTGAAATGCTTTGTGTTTTAGCCCTAGAACAAAAGGCAAATAATAAGAAATTGCTTGAAAAGATTCCACTTAGAAGTAAATTGGCTTTGGCTCATAAAAACTACAACACTGGAAGTATCTACCTCACATTGCCAAATCCCTCTCTCAAGAAAACACCTAGTAAATTAATGAAAGTCATTAAGATTTTGGTGAAGTTTATCTACTTGTGCTACTAGCATCTCCTTTTGCTACTGTCATTAAAAACTGCTTTCCTAATGTCAAGAGATGCTTGTGCTCTTTAGCCAGTAAGCATTTCAAATAGATACGTTATTAAAAAACTTGGGTAAGAAGATTTCAGGAGCATTTAATGTTTTTAGAAACCAGATGAAACCTAAAATCCATGGAAATGTTTCTCTTCTTGAGGACACCAAATTCTGGGTTCACATGCTATCAGCTATGCTAACTACAGTTAATCTTAGACAGTTCAAATGATAATTACACCAAAGAGATCCTAATTTTTTAGCTACCAATGCTATTTTTTTTCAAGACTAATTACCAGCTTTATTGGCCTGTGGTCATGGAATGGCAGAAGTCAGAAGGAGAAATGAGCATTTAACACGTTGAATGGTGAACCAAAAACCACGAGTGAACATTTCTGCTTTATGAACCGGCTGCACAAACATGCTGCTGTTGATCTACTGATGTTGTGGTTTAGCCACTGCTAATGGGGTATTCCCATTAATTTCTTGCCTTTAAGGAACTCATCACACCCACACTGATTAAAGGCACATTGTGAAGGGTTAAAAGCTTCCCTCTTCCTTCAATTTTTGGTCCTAGTTGCAAAAATGCTTCAGCAGGATTATACTTAATTTTAAGCTTAATTGGTCCCATTGATTCCAGCAGGACCAAAGCTGTCATGAACAAGCAAATTTCCCTGAACAGGATTTTCATTTCAGGACTTTTCAAGAAAAACCTCTTTCCCCCTGAGAAGAAATAAACAACCCTGAAACAATAAAGCAGGACTTATGGACAGCTGCACACTTAAAGCAGGACCTGTGTCTTATGACAGCAGTCTCCACTCAGAAAACCTGCTTCAGCTCCCAGATTCCAAGGGAAAAATTAGGAAATAAAAAGCATACTTTTACTTCCAGATCTGAAAGCCCCCCAGACTGTGACCGCTTCAGCTACATGTTATTACAGTGACAGGACGTCATTAGTGTTTCAGTGAGAGGAAACAGCATTTTCCCCTCCCCTCAGGCAGGGCTGCTCCCTGTTTCCCCCTCCCTGGGTGCCACTTACCGGGCGTAGGAGTAGTCCAGGCTGGCCTGGTCGATGCGGTTCCTCAGGATCCCGATGTCAGCAGACACCATGTCATCCAGAGCCTGCAGCTCCTTCTGAATCCTCTTCAGTTTCACTGTTTCAGCCTGAGTTCTTTTGGATCTGCAAAAGGAAGATGATTTTTTTGGTTGTTGTTTTAATTTCCTTTTCAAGCCTCTCTTGGCATACTGGGCCCCCTTTCCCTTGCAGAGCAACTGACCTCTTTAGGACCTGTTCAAAAGGTTTCTCCTTTATGTTGTAGGGCTTTTGATCTTTTTTAGCATCCACAGGGATCTAAAATGCCTGCTATTAAAGGACTATGGCAAAATTATGTAATGACTATAATCAAAGTGCCTAAAATGGATTGTGTTTCTTCACTGTGGAAACACACAAGAAGCTGCTGTACCTAAGTAGTTCTTGGTGTAAGGAAACAGGAAATGGCTTGGGGGGAAGTGAGAGGGGGAAGGGTTTTTAGTTCTGCAAATATCCCCTTTCAAAGGAGCCCAGTTAGTAGGGGCCAAAAAGTCACCTAACCTAAGCTTGATTTCCATTTTGTAAAATTATTCCCAAAAGGCCCAGCCAAACCCCAATGAAGTGAATGGAAAGTTTTACATTAAACACAAAGGATTTCAATCAAGCCTTATGTAACCTTTTTCAACTAGGCCATTCATTCCTAAGTCCTGAAAAAGAAATGTTACTAAGGGCAACACGCTTTGATGGATTTCATTCCCAAGCAAGCCAAGTGACTTTCCACAAGCTTTTACACCACGTCACTTTGCCATCATTCATCACCAGCAGCAAAATGATGCCTCTCAGCCACTGCTTTCCACCCAAGGCAGGTCCCTGAAAGCAAGACTAGGTGTGCAGGCAGGGCCAGCATCTCTCATTTGACCAGCTGATGCAGGTGGAGGGAAACAGACACCCTGTGATATTGCTGGGAGCCCGAGGAAGGCCTCTGAGTGACAGAAGTAACCCCTTAGCTGTCACTTTATGTGCCATATCTCTCCTCAGGCTTTGTTTCCAGGAGGAAGAACCAAACCTGGTGGCCACACCCATGTTTGATGTCCTACAGCGACTCAGAATAAAGGTGCTTGTGTTTTATCTCTGCCTGGCAATGGAAAATGAAATTTTCAGGACTTTAGCACAGTGCAGGCTGTGTTCACCTATGCTACCCAATCTAGCTCTGATAGGCAGAACATAACACATGCCCGGGAGAGCACTGCAAGCCCGAAAACTTCACATCACTGTGCTTGATCCAGTGTTATCAGCTGTTCCAACATAATTCCCTACAAACTTTGCCTTCTGTACAGTCTTAAACTACCTTAAAGGTGCCATAAAGTTCTTGCCCTGAAGAGCAAGAGCTAACAGCTGTGAGAATATCTGCAATTTTATAATTTCTAGCCACTCAGTGGTAAAACAGTACCTTCTAAAAGCTGGTCATCTTCTCTTTTCAACATTTTCACACACTAATGAGCCAAAAGTCCAAACAGAAATAGCTTCTTCTCACAGGTTACGAATCAAATCAACTTCCCTTACATCCAGCAAAACCAAATCAGGACCAGAACCCTGACAAGCATCTGAGCACCCCAACTTCCAAACATGACCTCACTAACAAATTTAAAGACTTCAGCTAATCCTCCAGTTGTGTAATCATCTGTGCACAGAGCTGCAGCTTGGGAAGTGTGAAAAGCTTAGTCACAACTTCATAGCCAGCACTTGTCATCCAAGGGAAACATCCATCACAGCTGCTCACAGAGCACAGAGAAGAGGAAAAAGTACAATTTAATTCAAGATATGAAACTGGTTGCAGATGAAGAGTCAGCCCTTGCCCAGGCTCAGCCCCACCTCTCAGCAATGGCTCTGGCCAGGAGTGCCTTCTTGCGTTTGTTCTTCTCTTCTATCAGCCGCTGCTCCTGCTGGAGGATTTCCCATCGGGATTTTTCCTGCCTGCTCATTGACAAGAACATCAACATTAATAGAAAGTTCATTTCTCTCCCTGCTGCCCATGTTGTAACACAAAGATTCACTGTCATATGTTCTGGAGCAAACTCTTAAAAAAGTCAAAGGACTTTTTGGTTTTGGTTCTGAGGAAAGAAGAATCATCTGCAAGAAGCCATTCAGACCAATAAAACATTTCCAGATGAAATCTGCTGATCAGAACTAAAACCTGCATAACCAAATAAGCTGCATGGAACACTTTTTCATAATTTTTCATGTAAAGAATGTGCTTCCCTATCAGGTAGTAGCAGTTTCAAGTTTCTTACTGGCTAACATAGCCTCTTTCTTGGAAATGTTTTTTTCCATAAAACAGTTTCTTTCACAGGTCTGCTTTACAATACAGCTCCCAAATAATTAAATGAATACAAATGAAAAGTTGGAATGAGTTATAATGAAAACAAGCAGCAAGGAAGAACAAGAATTTGCTTTTGCCACCAGTGAAAGACTGATAAGGATTCTATTTCCTAGGTTACATCTCTTAAGAGATACAACCATCCCAAAGGATGGAAGGCCAGGTCTCAGTGAGGGGGCACAAGGGCACAACCTGTGGCAGGATTTAGGAGAAACAAAGAACTATTTGCTGCTTTCCACCCCACAATGTTCTTCAAGCCCTCACTCAAGGAGCCTGAACTTAAAAATACCCAAATAACTCAGCTGCACATCTCTTCAGATTTGTCCTCATCACCCTACTTCTAAAACCTCACATACAGAAATATTTTTAGTAAGAGTTAAATTCAAGCATCCAGGCTGAGAAGAATCCAGCAGATTCAGGAGGTGACTGTTGCAGCTAAATGTCATTTGCTTTCACCAGAGTGAAAAAAATTCTCAGCAAAGCTCCAGCTGTTTTCTCCCCAGACAAGCAGTGTCCATGTTTCTCCCACCACAAAAATGAGATGAACCAGTCCTACTGGTGAGCTGCACCCACAGGAGGAATCTGAGTTCATAAAGTGCTTCCACCCTGGTGCAGGGAGCGCAGGCAGGTGATCCCAGCCCGGAGCTGGGCAGGGAAATCACAGGCAGCACAACCACCAACCACAGCCTCTCAAGGCCCCACTCTGCAAAACAGAACCTCCTGGATCCTTCTGAGTTTAGAATTTGAGAGAAGCCACTGCTGCTTCTCCACACAGCTGCTGCCTACTAGAAAATGGAATTATTTGATCTCGCAGAGCTTCCTACCAGACCCAAAAAAGTTGACCTCACAACCAAAGAACGAATCGATACAGAATAAAAAACCCCACCCCTTGATTTTACCGACTTACTAACAATTCCACTTTCTTTCTCTCCACTTGGCTGTTGGGCTTTGCAGGGCGGGGCTGGGCACTGTCCCTGCCATTACAAGACTCTGCCGGTGTCACTCCCTCCTGCTGCTCTTGGCTGTCCCTTTGCCTCTGATCCCCAGGTGCTGGCCCGGGCTGCTGGGGGTGACAAGGTTTGGCTTGTGGAGCAGAAAGCAGCTGCTCTGGAGTGACAGAGGCTGCTCCTCCCTGCAGCCCCAGCCTCTGGCTTTGCTGCTGGAGGGCTTTTTCCCTTTGCAATTGCTTCCGAGTCTTGGGCACAGCCTGGGGGCGAGGCTGCTGCTGCTGCTGCTGCTGCTGCTGTGGTGGTGAGGGCTCGTACAAATCTGTTGGTGAAGAAACAGGGTTAAAAAACAAATCTCAGTATCAAAGACAGGCTCTGACAGAGCTGTTCTGGGCAAGCAAAAACCAAAATAAGGAAAGCACAAGGCAGGGTGTCATGGGAAGGCAATGTGGGGGAAACCTCAGGAAGCTGGAAATGTTTTGTTAGCCTAAGATTCAGGAATTTTCAATGATACCTAAGTGAGGAGAGGGAGGAATAAGAGGTCTGAACTGCAGGCCTAGAAGAAAAAACATAGGTGGGAATGAGATGACTCTTGGGATAACCATGACGAGGCAGATCTAGGGCTAAGGAAGGGTTCCTGCCTGCATGGTGGGGAAACTGAGGTTATAAAGTGAAGAACGGAGAAGAGGTGACACGCGGTCAAAGAGAAGCCTGGGAGCATGAGGGGCGCTTGGGCACAGATCTGGAGGCTGGACAAGGGGCTGGAGAGTCCGTGATTTTTGTCGGAGAAGCTGCAGGTGGAGAGAAGAGCTGCATGAGGGGAGCAGGGAGACATAGGGCTGCATGGGAAGGACCAGCCCGGGGCAAGAGAGGGTTTTGCTGCAGGGATGGAGCTGAGGGGATGGACAGAGCTCTGCAGGGCTGAGGGGAGGGACTGAGGTGTGGATGGACTGAGGGGAGGGACAGAGGTGTGGATGGAGGGGCTGAGGGGAGGGATAAAGGTGTGGATGGAGGGACTGAGGGGAGGGATAGAGGTGTGGATGGAGGGACTGAGGGAAGGGACTGAGGTGTGGATGGAGGGACTGAGGGAAGGGACTGAGGTGTGGATGGACTGAGGGGAGGGACAGAGGTGTGGATGGAGGGGCTGAGGGGAGGGATAGAGGTGTGCATGGAGGGGCTGAGGGGAGGGATAGAGGTGTGGATGCAGGGGCTGAGGGGAGGGATAGAGGTGTGGATGGAGGGGCTGAGGGGAGGGATAGAGGTGTGGATGGAGGGGCTGAGGGGAGGGATTGGGATGAGAATGGAGCGGCTGAGAGGAACAGAGATGCGGCTGGAGGGGCTGAGGGGAAGCACAGAGATGCGGCTGGAGGGGCTGAGGGGAAGAACAGAGGTGTGGCTGTTGGGGCAGAGGGGAAGCACAGAGGTGTGGCTGAAGGGGCTGCGGAGATGGGCCGCCGAGGGGCGACGGGAGGGAGGCAGGTGCAGCTGCGGAGGCTAACGGGGAGCCGAGGCCCGGCTGTTCCTCCCCCAGTCCCTGGGTGCGGTCCGTACCTGGGCGCTGCCCCCGCAGCCGCCGCAGCTCCTCCTGCGAGAAGCCGGCCCAGGCGCCGGCCATGGCGCTGCCGCTCCGCCCGCACCGCGCATGCGCCGCCCCGCCCGCCGCCGGCCGACCGCGCACGGCGCCGCGGGGCGGGGCGGGCAGGACGGCGGCTGAGGGGGAGAGTGAGGGCAGGGGAGCGCTGCTCCAGCGGGCTGCTGAGAACCGTAAAGAATCGCAGCGTCATTAGGGTGGAGAAGATTCCTGAGCTTATCCAGTCCAGTGGGCGAACAGGGCTCAGTGGGTCCCGGCTAATGAGGCTGAAATGGAAAGGGGAAGTCGCCGCCGAAAAAAGCAAACAAACTTCCAGGAACATCACACGTACCGCCATGCAATTTATGATTCGCTGTTAAGTAGTTGTGAGCGGGTGAGATCCTGCTTCAGCATACTAAGTTACAGTGACAACATGGTGAGGAAATCAGGGAATCCCTGGATGCTTTGGGACTTTAAAGTTCAACCAGTTGCAAACCCTGTGATGGGCAGGGACATCTTCCACCAGACCAAGCTGCTCCAAGCCTGCCCAACCTGAACATTTACAGAGATGGGGCAGCCACAGCTTCTCTGGGCAGCCTGTGCCAGTGCTTCACCACCCTCACCGGAAAGAACTTCCTAATACCTAAACTCAATCTCACTTTTAGTTTAAAACCGTTCCCTCTTGTCCCATCACAATCTGCCCATTTAAAAAATCACTCTCCCTCTTTTTCTATAACCACTGGGAGGCCATGAGGCAAAAATATTATTTTGCCCATACTGGTGCTTTTTAAGGTCTGCTTTGACCATTGTGCACTAGGAGTGCATGCACTAGCTTTCACCCTTAGGTATAAACTGCAAAGACCCACAACTTGGAGCATTATCCCTCAGTATCCACGAAAAGAAGCATGTTTCTGCCTATCCTAAACTCCCGTGGCTGCTGCAAGCCTGCCAGAGGCCCTATGGATGAGTTCACCTCCCAGTGGGACACAGCCAGCAGGAGCAAAAAGGCACGAGCCCCAGCTTAGCTGCAGCAGCCCAGGGGCCTGGAGGCTTAAAGAACACATAATGGGCAGTAAGCGGGGATGTTTTCAGCACCACATCCCTGCCTGGCTCCAATCTGTGAGGGATTAGTCAAGCTCCAAAGTGCTGCTGCCTCGCCGAGCAAATCCGTGGCTCACGGCCGTGTAGGACTCCGCGATTTCCACGGCCGCGCTTCCAGCAGCTCCCGTGACTAACGCGTCCCATAAACACGGCTGGGACGGGGACACTCCCTGGGCTGGCAGGCGTTAAGTATTCCTGATGGGATTTGAGTGCCTTGGGAGAACACCAGTGCCACCGTTTTTCACCTGCAGCTTAGCCTTGGTGCCAAGCAGAGATGCTGATCGAGCAGAGGAGAAGGACAGTGTGGTTATCTCATGCAGGAAGCCTGTTCTGGGTAAGCCCGAGGCAGAGGGATGGCCAACAGCCCTTCACACAGGATTATGGCTTCTCTGGGAAACATGACTGAGCACAGGAGACATCTGAATGAGAACCATAATCCAACCTTGACTGAAACGCTCTCAAACTCCAGGGAGTTCAGATGGTAGAACCAGGTGTCAGCTTGAATTTTACAATGGAATAGTGTTGGCCAGCCCTACTAGGGTTGGCTTACAACAAGGTGTAGGCACCTAATTTCCTTTGAGATAAATATATAAGAATCATGGATTTTAATCTGGTGTCTAAATCACAGTAATGGGCTGTATCAAACCCAGAGATATCGACTGAATGTGCTTCACCCAGTACAAACACCGGATCTCATCTTGAACCTCGGTTGTTCTTTCTTCTTGCAAGTTCTAGCACTACAAAGTGAAGCACCATATCCACTTTATTGCTGCAGATATTCCAGGCACAAAGCTCCCACGTGTTTTATAGAAAAAGTAAAAAGAGTTTGGAGTTGTTAACTCTGACGCTATGGGCAAGGCAGCAATCCCTGTTAACAGTTTCCATCAGCCCAAGGTTTAATTGCCAGCCATTGGGCCAGCTTGCTCCAGGAACAATTACGGCGGCAGTGAAGTCATTTCACGGAGCATTTACCAACAGCAGGCTCCGAAAACAGAGGCTGGCCATGTTCTCCAGCTGATTAAAGTCCAGTGAGCGGAACAGGGCACTGAACATTTGCCACCTAGGAATGAAATGTTTTCCAGGCAAATGCTGCTCCAGCACAGGCTGGAGGAGGCAAGATGAGGAGAAAATAGAAACCTTTTCCACCTCCTGGGCCAATATCCCCACAAACTTTCCTCTTACATCTAGGGCTGGATTTGAGTCCTGTATCTTTTTGTGCTCCAGGAGCTGCTCTCTCACAAGCAGGGCTGGAGACCTCCATGACTGCTGCATCCGTTTTCTCTTGGCCTAATTGCCCTGGAGTCTGGTGAATAGAAGCAGCCAGCACCAACAGATCACAAAAACATCTTTTCTTGTGCAGTTCCCAAATCAACGTGGAAATGTCATCATGGGCTGGCAAATTGGGCTGCCCAGGTCAGAGCTCAGGGTCAGACCTCCGATGACATTTCAACCCAGGACAGGAGCAATTTGTACCAGGGCATAACATCAATTTGCATCGGTTTCATTCTGAAAACTTGTGGGGTTTTTAGGAGCCAAATCAGATCTTCTGTCAAAGGGCTCCCTGAGTTAGATGTATATTTAAAACTTCATTCTTGCACTGCTCTGCACGCTGCCACAGTAACACACAAAGCAACATTTTCCCAGTAAAGGACTGAGCCCTGATGTGAGACAGGGAAAGGCTTGCATAGGGAAGGAGAGTTTCCTTTCTTCTTGCATTTCAGACTCTATAATGAGCTTCAAGGACTATGGCATATAATTCAAGTGACCTAGGGAAAAAAACATCCTGAAAATAACAGAGCCAAAAATTCCTAAATCAATTTAGCCCTCTTTCTAAAGAAAAATAAAGATCTATCAAACTGTATCCACATCAATACTACCCCATCCTTCACCAGATCATAACACAGGCTGGCTTAGGAAGAACCACTATGTCCAAATAAGCTATGGTACTGTGTGAGCAAGGAACAAGTATTTTGTTTTGATAATAACTCAGAATTTAATTTGTCCTTTAAAATCACTTTTGAGAGCCCTGAAAATTTATTTTGTTGATTTTCTGCTGGACTGTCTCAGGCTTCAAAACCTGAGGTGAACAGGCTTTCTTAGCAGAAGACTGAATTAAAAGTACAGCATTATTCCTTCTCCTCAGTTTCTGTTCCTATAACTGCCTGGTAAGTGGGATTAAATCAGCACTGTCATTTCTGGGACCAAGGCAAACTTTTGGTTTTTAAGAATTTCATAGAGGAAAACCAAAATCCACTTATCTAAAGAGCTACTGAGTGGGAAAAAGTGACATAAACCTCCCTGTTTTTTAAACAAGATAGACCAAAGGTTTTCAACATCTTTTGATTTGTGGATCTGTACACATTTTCTAGGGAAAAGGCAAACTTCCCAAGGGTACTCTGGGTTGTCAGCAGCCAAACTGGGGGGAGATGGTCCCACAGGGACTCCACAGCATTCAGGGCTGAACCTGCTCCTCTCTGCATCCCGTGCAGAGCTGGGTGTTTTTGCAGGACACTGCTCATTACAGTGATGTGTTTGCTTTGAAACTGAGCCTGAAAACTTCTCAGCTTTTCAGGCCCCCACCCCGTGTTTTCACATTTCAACTTTTGAGCTTTTACCTTAAGATAAGTTCAGCTTTCAAAACCTGAAATTTGAACTGGAAGGAAGCTCAGCATGCAATATAAATGTTTTAAAAAAATAAATTCCTACTGACACTTTTTGAGTATTTCTTTCTTTCTTTACTTACTGAGTATTTAAGATAAATTTTCCATACAGACAAACATATTGTGTAGTAATTTCTCATCTTAAAAGATTTGTGTAAAAGAAAACCTAACCAGGATTAAATCCTGGCCAATTACAAGCACCATAAAAGAAGCTGGTAAAACAAAATAAAATATCCTGAAGATTATAAACTTACCATTTTGGCTGGCACAACTGGAGCTGAAGAGTGGAAATGAGCAATTACTTATATATATTTTTATATAATTTAAGAAATATTGTTGCAGCTAATTCCTTTTATAAGATACTATATATCATTAAAAGAATACTTTTTATAACCCCAAGTTTAATATTTCATGACAGTTCTAGAATGCATTTAATTGCATTGCCTAATGTAAAAGTCATAATTCAAATCTTTATACAGAAAAACTAGAAAGCAATTGCTTTCATGCTAACCCTTTGTGTAAAAATTATAATCTAGCTGTCAAAACAGTTGATAAAACTAAAGATTTGAAGAGAAATTTGCTGAAGCTTTGTTATCTTTGGCAAAACTTGAGTGATTAGAACCGCTGCACTAAATAAACTGAGTATTCATCAAACAAACTTATTGTTATTACACGCTCCAGAGAATGAACTGTGCTTGTTGAGTCTGGATGGGAGAGAAGTGTGGGGGAGAGGACATGATAATGGTCTTTAAATATATAAAGCACAGCTGTAAAGATACAGGGTGATGTGTTTTCAGGGCCTGTGGAGGATAGAGGTGAAGAAGAAAGCAAGACTCAGGCTAGACAAGTCAGGGCAGCAAAAGGTGGAGAGAATTGACTGAAGACACCACAGAATCTCCATTCAGGTATTTTTTAAAATAAACATCTTCTGGGCAAGGTCAGTAAAGCCGTGGGAGAGCGAGATGCAGGTTTTGGAGATTTCAGGTGTGTGGATGTCCACGCAGGTTCCACGGGAGATGGGACCCACAGACTCAGGCTGCTCCTGCAACTTTGGACGTTGCTTTCTGCATCATTTATGGTCTGAGTGCTGGCCAGCTCCTGACACCTCTGCCAGCCTTGTTCCTGTGGCTGTGGTGCTTCCCACACCATTCCCACTTCTTCCCACCGCTGTCACAGCCCCATCACCCTCCCCATGGGCACTCACATTGGCACCAACAGCTGGATCCTTTTGGGTGCCAGTCAGCCATGCAGCTCCTGAAAAAATCTGTGAAAAAGAAAAGTTTCACCTCTGAAAGAGTGAGTCTA